AAACAAGGTATTAATGTGTTTACCATGATGATTTGAACAGGCACAAACACTGGCCATGGGAATTCTGGTCATAAATCAGAGTTTATGGAATCATCAAAAACCACAAAATATTTGATGGACTCCATCCATACTCATCCTCAGAATTTTTTTTCTATATTCATAAGTGCATATGTACACTGAGACAATCGTATTTATGCGAATCAGGGAGAGGGACACTATAAGCACACTTATAAGATGACCCCCAAGGAGGTATGTGCTTGTGTGACTCCATCCTGGTCACTTACTTCTAGCAATACAATGATGGCCAAGGTGATGGGACAGTTAGTCCCTTAATTAGTTATGCTATATGGCACTGCTGATGGCTACTCATCCTCATGCTTATATAAAATGCCATCTATGCAAAGGGCAGTGGGGGATTGTCCTGCTGGCTTTGAGGTTAGCTGTGTGCTGTTGGACCGTGTGTGGGAGGGCCATGCAACACGGGACTGCAGGGCTGCCAGTTGCTGAAAGGAGACCTGGTGACCACCAGCAACTAATAGGACACTCAGTCCTTCAACTTCAAGAAAGTGAATTCTGAAAACGCATTTGAGCTCGAAAGAGGACTCTCAGCTCTGGAGAGGATTGTAGCCCAGCCACGGCTGTGATTGCAGTCTTAGGAGATTCAGGGATGAGAACCCAGTTTATCCGGGTCCAGAATGAGGCAATAAATACATGCAAAGTTGCTAAGTTAGCAGGAGTTTATAACCAGCAATATACCATTTAAAGCCATGAACTTTTGTGTCACTATCATTTCAGTATTTCATAAATATTCTACAATTATAGTTCTGACTTAGATGACTCAATAATTTGTTCATTTGATATTTTCCATTTTATTATTTGAGGGATTTTCTTATCAATGTTTACCAAATATCTGTTTTTTGCAATGTCTTATGGAAGTGAGGCTCATACCATGTGTATTTACAAAATTGACATTTTTCTTTGTGTAATACTTTTAACCATTTTTTAAATACTCTATACATACCTGAAAAATATAAGATTTAAAAATATAACTATAATTTTAAATTGTACTATCTATATTTCTATGACTTTCTGTGTAATGGTTGCCAAATTATTAGCATCAATTATAATATTTTCATAAATTCTTTTTTATGATTTTATTTTGCAATTTACATTTGGATAATATCAGCTGAAAGTTTCATAATTGTAGTATCCTGTTTGCATTTTAATTACTGTTACTACTATAATTAAACTTGCTTGTGATTTACTGTTACATTTCATAATTTTGCCCTGCATTATTCTTTCTTAATGCATATAAGACCAACATCACTTTGCAAACATCTATAATTATATGCAGTTTCTTGAATCAAGTTGGAGAATATATTAAGAAAAGAGATTAATATGTTTACATTGGATAGGTATACTTTGCCTTATTTTCTTTCCCAGGTTTCATCCATTACTTTTAATGACTTCCAGTTTTTGTGTACAATCTTATCGATTTGTGCTTTTCGTTCAAGATGTGCATTATTTGAATAATTCTATGAATAATTACATTATATTAACTCTGCCCATCTGATGTCCTTTAGAATGTCAAACGGGCTCTGTTCAAATTACACCCACTGCACCACGCTGTTCTGAGTGGCCTCCAACCTTTCCTAGATTATAACACCAGCCTCCTACCAATCATCATCCTGACTACCTTTTCTCAACAGCCAGACAGTCCTTTTAAAGCAAAAGTCAGACCAATTCAATTCCCTCCTTAAAACTCCCCAATATTTATCTTTTCAATCAAAGTCACTGCCAAAGACCTTCAAGTGGCATTCAATGTCTCTCATGACAGAGCTGCACAGTCATCTCTGGTCTGCCTCCCGTGTGTTATGTCACCCTTTCCCTTACAGCCACACTGGCTTCCTTCATGTACCTTGAATATGACAGACAAGTTCCTACCTTATGTCCCTCCCATGTCTAGAACACTCTTCCCCAGGGAGCTCATGCCCTCACCTCCTTCATCCTGGGCTCTGACCAGCAGCGGCACCAAGCTGGGTAAGGGGCAGATGGCTGAGAGAAGCTCACCCCTGAGACCCGGGCAGTTAAGCCTGGCTGCACACCTTACCCTCAGACCTCCTCCCACCTGGCTGGTGGCACTAAGTGAAAGGCAAGAGCACAGGGGAGGGGAACAAGTGTGCGGGAAGAGGCACCCTCTGAAGTGCAGATGTAGCCTGATGGCTTAAAGACAGGGGTGAAGCAGCAACCCTTAAAACCTCTCCACTGAACCCCATTATAATCGCAAGAGAACTCTTCTCCTTTTCCTTGATGCTACAGGCCTTCACCTGTGCCCTGGTGAAGACAAGAGGCAGAAGGACTTTGCCTCCAGGGGAAAAGGGTCAGGAGCTCACTGGCATCTGAGAGCTGGTCCCTCTTCCAGACCTGCCCACCCTGGGAAGCTTCATCCAGGTCAAGCACTCCCTAATCTTTGTTCCGTATACCCAGTAAGGACCATAGACTACAACTGGGTGCAAACGAGCCTTGCATCTACTGCGTCAAGGAGTTCTAAATTTTTCTATTAGCCCACATTCAGTCTTTAATGATTTGTTAAACATTTCAGGTGATTTTTTTCCCCACACATATCGCAGCCACATCTTCTTTGCTCGCCATAGGTAAGGCAACGCTCAAGTCTTGTTTCTCCCTGGAGTTGCCTCCTGTTCAATTTCAGGTTTGTTGTTTGTCGTGCAACCTAACCTCTCCCAAGGCCTTAAGGCAAATGATGATTTTGCAGATGACTTGGTTTTTTCTTGTTGTCAGGGCAGCAGGCTCCTTCCTGCTCGCCTTAAGTTGGGCTGACCAGAGTCTCACTTGGCTTTTTCTTTTCTGTAAGAAAATGGTTATGTAGAATCTAAGCATTAAGTAAGAGTAGAAATAAGTTGGCATAAGAGTAGCCATCTTAAGGGCCTAGAAGCCATTTTCTGGCGTTCTTTGAAAAGAAAAACTGAAACTAGGTAAGGCCTAGAAAACAAGTTAATCAATCATGAACACTGGCAGCGGTGACCTTTAGTCAGCTAACCTCAGTCAGTTAATCATACATACCAAGCTTATCTTGCTGAACCACCCTAACATTCGAAGAGTGATCTTATCTTGCTCTTGCTAAAACCCCCAGGATGAGGATGTGGCACCAGCCGAAAATTATGTGCTTGTGGAAAAACACTGTTATGTGCTTGTGGAAAAATACTGTCTCTTTGAAAATGCTATATAAAACCCTGGCTTTGAGTGCTTGGCGTTCTTGTTGAAACCTGCTGTGTCGGGCTGACACTTGGACCCCAGCTAGCTGAATAAAGGACCTGAATAAAGTCCTATTGCTTGTTGCATCAAGAGACGTCTTCCGTGAGTGAATTGGGGTGGCGTCCTCCTTTGGGGAGATCCAACATTTCTTGGGGGCTCATCCGGGATTGAGCGTTCACCCTGCTTCACTCCCTAAGTCGCCCTTGGAAGAACAGGTAAGGTTGGTGGTGCCTTGGGTTGTCCGTATTTCGTCTTCTGTCTTTCAGTGCGACCGGTCAGAATTCTGAATAGGGTACCTTCCGTCTGGCAGCCATCTTGATCCCGTAAAGGGTTCGAGACCGCGGTCAGTAGTCGTACTCGGAGCACCGCAGGCTGCAACCCCGGGGGACGCCTCAGGGAGATTAGAGGGCCAGTGATGAGGCAGTGGGGCTGGCTCCGGGACCTGCCCAGGGATGCCTGGTGACCTCTCACCTGTTTTTTCGGCAAGGTGAACCTGATGAGACAGGGTTGATTTTTGGGCGCCAAGAATATCAACCCTCCGATTCCTTTCGGTTTCTGGTAAAAAATATGAAGAAAACAAGGAGCAGCCGCCGTGTGTCTAATCTGTGTGTGTCTCTGTTTTTTGTGTCTTTCACGTGTCTAATAATTGTTATACTGACAATGGGGCAGACAGTGATGACCCCCCTCAGTCTGACGCTAGATCATTGGACAGAAGTAAGGACGAAGGCACATAATTTGTCAGTAGAAGTTAGGAAAAGACCATGGCAGACTTTCTGCACCTCGGAGTGGCCCACCTTTGATGTTGGGTGGCCCCCAGAGGGGACCTTCGATCTCTCCATTTTACTAGCAGTAAAAACTGTTGTTTTCCAGGACTCACCTCAGGGACACCCGGATCAGCAACCCTACATTGCAGTCTGGCAGGAGTTGGTGGAGAATCCACCGCCCTGGGTAAAGCCCTGGGTGCAAAAGAAAATGGGCCCTCAGGTCTTATTTGCCCAGACCCAACCTCAGAGCAAGAAAAAAGAGACCACCAAAGTTCACCCAGACACTCAAGACTTACTCATGGTTGATGATCCCCCTCTCTACCCTCCTGCCCCTATGGCCCCCCCAGCCCCGGCACCCCTGACACCTCCAGTCCCTGGTGATGAGGCAGTGGGGCTGGCTCCGGGACCTGCCCAGGGAACTCGGTGCCACCGAGGGGCTACCTTGGACCCCCTGGGTATTTTCCTCTCCGGTCTTATGGGGCTCCCATCCTCAGAGAAGAAGGGGACCCACCTTTCCAACCTCTGCAGTATTGGCCGTTTTCCTCCACCGATTTATATAACTGGAAAGCTAACCACCCTCCCTTTTCAGAAGAATCACAGAGACTAACTGGACTGATAGAGTCCCTGATGTTTTCTCACCAGCCCACTTGGGATGACTGTCAGCAGCTTTTGCAGGTGCTCTTCACCACGGAGGAGAGAGAAAGGATCCTCCTGGAGGCACGAAAGAACGTGCCTGGAGCCAACGGACGACCATCGCAACTCCCTCATGATATAGAGAGGGGATTCCCGCTGACCAGACCCAACTGGGACTTTAATTCTCCAGAAGGTAGGGAGCGACTAACCATCCATCACCAGGCTCTGGTGGTGGGTCTCCGCAGGGCCATGAGGCACCCCACTAATTTGGCCAAGGTAAGAGAGGTCAGTCAGGGAGCCACTGAGGCACCCACAGTGTTCCTAGAACGCCTGATGGAAGCCTTCAGGCGGTATACTCCCTTTGATCCTACTTCTGAAGAGCATAGCGCTTCAGTGGCCCTTGCTTTTATCAGACAATCAGCGCCCGACATTAGGAAGAAGCTTCAGAGATTAGAGGGCCTATAAGATTTATCACTGAAAGATTTAGTGAAAGAGGCTGAAAAAGTTTATCACAAGAGGGAGACTGAGGAAGAGAAGGAGTTAAGGAAGGAGAAGGAAAGAGAAGGTAAAGAGGAAAAGAGGGGCAGGAAGCATGAGAAAAATTTAACAAGGATCTTGGCTGCAGTAGTAGAAGGTAGGGGACGCCCACCCTCTAGTGGCAGAGCTAGCAAGGCAGGGTACCTGGGCAACATTAGAGAAGGACCAATGTGCATACTGCAAGGAAAAGGGGCATTTGGTGAAGGAATGCCCTAAGAAGCCACCACGGGGACCTCTGAAGAAGGTGTTGTCTCTGCTAGAGGATGAAGATTAGGGAAGATGGGGCTTGGAGCCCCTCCCCAAGCCCAGGGTAACCCTGAAGGTGGAGGGGCAACCCGTTGAGTTCCTGGTAGACACCGGTGCTCAACATTCTGTACTGACTCAAGCTAGGGGCCCCCTCTCTGGCAAAAAGTCTTGGGTGATCGGGGCTATGGGCCAGAAACAATATGCGTGGACTACCCGAAGAACAGTAGACTTAGGAGTGGGACGAGTAAACCACTCATTCCTTGTCATACCGGAATGCCCCACACCCCTGTTAGGAAGAGACATATTGACCAAAGTAGGAGCCCAAATATCCTTTCAAACCGAAGAAACTCAAGTGACTAATCGAGAAAAGAAACCTTTGAGCCTAAGTATCTTGACCATAAGATTAGAGGATGAATACTACCTTTTTAAGGAACCAGAACCCTCCCGAATTGGTCAGGAGTGGCTTGACCAGTTCCCAGGGGCCTGGACAGAGATGGTGGGTATGGGGCTTGCTGTGAACCAGCCCCCTGTGGTCATAGAATTGAAAGCTTCAGCCTTACCAGTAACTGTGAGACAATATCCAATGAGTAAAGAAGCCAGAGATGGAATTAGGCCCCATATCCAGAGGCTTATAGAGCAGGGGATATTAGTAAAATGTAAATCCCCATGGAACACTCCCTTGCTGCCCGTAAAGAAAGCGGGAACAGGGGATTATCGACCAGTGCAAGATTTAAGAGAAGTTAATAAGAGGGTACAGGACATTCATCCCACTGTGCCGAACCCTTATAATCTGCTAAGCTCCCTGGCCCCGGAAAACACCTGGTATGCAGTCCTAGATTTAAAAGACACTTTCTTTTGTCTGTGCCTGCACCAGAATAGCCAACCGCTGTTTGCTTTTGAGTGGAAAGATCCCTACACAGGAACTACTGGGCAATTGACTTGGACTCGTCTGCCACAAGGATTTAAGAATTCGCCCACCCTCTTTGATGAGGCTCTACACCAGGACTTGGCTTTTTACAGAGCCTCCAACCCACAGGTAACCTTGTTGCAGTATGTTGATGACCTATTAATAGCAGCCCCTACCTGGGAAGCCTGCCAAGAGGCCACTGGAGCCCTTCTGACTGAACTTGCTAAACTAGGGTATAGGGTGTCTGCCAAAAAGGCACAGATCTGCCAACAAGTGACTTATTTGGGATATTCCCTGAGGGAAGGGAAAAGATGGCTCACTGAAGCCCGAAAGCAGACTGTGACACAGATCCCGGTTCCCACTACTCCAGGGCAGGTTCACGAGTTTCTGGGGACGGCAGGATTTTGTAGACTGTGGATACCCAGGTATGCTACCTTAGCCACCCCCCTGTATCCCCTAACAAAAGGGGCGGCCCCGTTTGTTTGGGGATCTGAACAATAGCAGGCCTTTGATGATATTAAGAGGGCCCTCCTGTCGGCACCCGCTCTAGCATTGCCAGACATGACAAAGCCGTTTGTCCTCTTCGTGGATGAATGGAGTGGGGTAGCTCGAGGAGTGCTGACCCAACAATGGGGACCTTGGAAGAGACCTGTCACCTACTTGTCAAAAAAACTGGACCCAGTAAGTAGCGTATTGCCTGCCTGTTTGAGAGTACTGGCGGCCGTGGCCCTCTTAGTTAAAGATTCTGACAAACTTATGCTGGGTCAAAAACTCACTGTGGTTGCTCCCCATGCACTGGAGAGTGTAATTCAGCAACCACCTGAAAGATGGATGTCGAACGCCAGAATGACTCACTACCAAACCTTGCTCCTGAATCACGATCATGTGGAATTCGCCCCGCCCGCCATCCTAAACCCGGCTACTCTTCTCCCTGACTTGGGGAAAGAAGTGCTTCACACCTGCCAGGAGACCCTGGCTGAAGAGACAGGGACCCACCGGGACCTACGAGATCAGCCCCTAGAGGGACCGGGACTCCTGACCTGGTACACAGACGGAAGCAGTTACATCATGGGAGGTAAGAGGATGGCGGGGGCTGCAGTAGTAGACGATGACCGGATCGTGTGAGCCAGCGGACTTCCAGTGGGCACTTCCGCACAGCAAGCAGAACTCGTTGCCCTGACCCAGGCTCTAAGGATGGCTGAAGGTAAGAGACTCAATGTCTACACTGACAGCCGATACACTTTTGCCACTGCACATATACATGGGGCTATCTACAGACAGAGAGGGCTGTTGACTTCTGCTGGGAAAGATATCAAAAACAAACAGGAAATTTTAGATTTATTAGAAGCCATCCATAGACCCAGGGAGGTAGCAATAATACATTGCCCTGGACATCAGAAAGATGAATCTCTAATAGCTCGAGGGAACCAGAGAGTGGACCAAGCCACAAAATAAGCAGCCCAGGGAATGAACATTGTACCCCTCTGGGTATACCTGGAAGACACATGTGCTAAAAGCTTCCAGTATACACCCGAGGACCTCGCTCGGATGGACAAGCTGGGGTTTCAAAAATCCTCGCCCCTTGGAACATACAAGTCAGGAAGTGGGAAGAATATTCTGCCCCAGAAAAAGGCAGGAAAATACTTAAGGCAACTACATCAGTTGACACATTTGGGGGCCAGGAACCTAATAGCCCTGGTTCGAAAGTCCCCTTATCACGTCATTGGCTTCGGAGAAATGGCAGACGAGGTGGTGAGAAATTGCCTTCCTTGCCAATTGTTAAATGTGAACAAACATCAAGTAATATACGGAAAAAGGCTTCACGGGGATCGACCAGGAGCTTACTGGGAAGTTGACTTCACTGAAATTAAGCCTGCTAAGTATGGACATAAGTACCTCCTAGTCTTTTTAGATACCTTTTCAGGATGGACGGAAGCTTTCCCTACCAAGACCAAGACAGCTCAGATGGTGTCCAAGAAGATACTTGAAGAGATATTTCCAAGGTTTGGAATCCCAAAGGTAATCGGCTCTGATAATGGTTCTGCCTTCGTTGCCCAGGTGAGTCAGGGATTGGCTAAGATCCTGGGGACAGATTGGAAATTGCATTGTGCATACAGGCCCCAGAGCTCAGGACAGGTAGAAAGGATGAACAGAACTTTAAAAGAGACCTTGACTAAATTATCCATAGAGACTGGTTTATGTGATTGGTTAGTCCTCCTTCTCTTTGCCTTATCTGGGTCAGGAACACCCCCGGCCGCTTTGGACTAACGCCCTTTGAGATAATGTTTGGGGCCCCGGCTCCGCTCCAATCGGCTCATCTTCATACATTTCCCAAATGTGCAACTAATAAGTTTCTGCTTGAAAGGTTACGGGCCTTGGAAGTTGTGCAGAAAGAAGTGTGGGCCTCCATCAGGGAAGCCTATTGGCCAGAGGACTTCTTAGTACCTCATCAGTTCCGGGTGGGAGACCCTGTGTACATGAGACGACACTGAACGGGAAACCTTGAGCCTCGGTGGAAAGGCCCCTTCATTGTCCTCTTGACTACTCCCACATCCGTGAAAGTGGATGGCATCTCCTCCTGGGTACATGCTTCACATCTGAAGAAAGCACGCCCGCCGGACCCGGACTGGGGAGTAACTTGGACTGATAACCCACTTAAGCTTCATTTGTGTAGAAAGAACCATGTTATTAGTGATTCTGATGCTCCTGCTACTTCCAAACCTCCAGAAACCCCAACCCCCATGAACCCAGGTTGCTGACATGGCAGGTTTACTCTCAGACAGGAGAGGCAGTGTGGTCTGTTTCTAAGGCTGCCCCCCTTAAGACCTGGTGGCCATCCCTGGACCCCGATGTTTGTGCCCTAGCTGCTGGATTAGATACCTGGGACATACCTAATATACCCTGGAGACAGGCCCACCTAATTCGACCACCAGACCATGATTATTCTGCAGCCCAGAGCCAGGTTTCCTATGAAGATAGCAGGTGTAGTTATCCCCAAGCCTGCAATAGGATAAAAACCACTACTTTCTATGTCTGCCCCCGTGACGGACGAACCCACCAACAAGCCCGACAGTGTGGGGGCTTAGAATCTTTTTATTGTAGCTCTTGGGGCTGTGAGACTACAGGTAATGCTTATTGGAACCCCGTGTCCAGTTGGGACCTCCTTAAAGTAGTCCAGAACCACACATCCCCTAACTGTGAGCAGACAGGGCTATGCAACCCCTTAAATATCACGTTCAGTGATAAAGGGTGCCAGTATGATGGGTGGGCCACTGGACGACAGTGGGGGCTCAGATACTATAAATCTGGATATGACAAAGGCCTCATATTTACTATCAGACTTAAAGTTGAGACCCTTCCGGCTGCCCGAGTAGGACCCAATACTGTCCTATGAGATCAGCTGCGTCTCCCAACCCCAGCCCCGAAGCAGGCCCTAGTTCCACCAGTGGGCTCTGCCACCACTTCCTCCACCCCCACTCCTGACCAAGTAACCCCTTTTTCTGGCACCGGAAAACGCCTCCTCAACCTCGTTGAGGGGGCTTTCCGGGTTCTAAACACCACCAACCCTAATACTACCGAATCCTGTTGGTTATGTTTTTCCTCTGGACCTCCTTATTATGAAGGGTTGGGGCTGTCGGGCAGTTTTAACAATACAACCAGCCACGAAATCTGTAGCTGGGGCAGCCACAAGAAGTTGACCCTGACTGAAGTGACTGGGAAAGAGAAGTGCCTAGGAACGGTCCCCTTGACTCATAAGAATCTGTGTAATGAAACCATATCCATAGCCTCCTCAGATGAAAACAGATATCTAGTCCCTCCTCCCGAGGGATGGTGGGCTTGTAATACTGGACTGACCCCATGTGTCTCCACCTCAGCCTTCAATTCCTCCCATGATTTCTGTATTATGGTCCAACTAGTGCCTAAGCTGATGTATCATGATGATCTCTCATTTGTAACAGAATTTGAACCCAGACATAGATATAGAAGAGAACCAGTCTCCTTGACTCTAGCCGTATTATTAGGTGTAGGAGTTGCAGGTGGAGTAGGAATGGGGACAGCCGCCATTATCCAAGGGAACCAAAATTATGAGGGACTGAGAGTAGCTATTGATGAAAACTTAAGGACCATAGAACAATCCATCACTAAACTTGAAGAGTCCCTAACTTCCCTTTCTGAAGTAGTACTACAGAATAGGCAAGGACTAGATTTACTGTTCTTAAAAGAAGGAGGATTGTGTGCAGCCCTGAAAGAAGAATGCTGCTTTTATGCAGACCATTCTGGAATAGTAAGAGATTCAATGTCTAAACTTAGAGAGAGATTAGATCAACAGAAGAGAGAGCGGGAGGCCAACCAAAGTCTATTTGAATCCTGGTTTACTCGGCCCCCATGGCTTACAACCCTGATATCCACCCTGGCAGGGCCCTTGCTTATTTTCATATTACTCCTCATCTTAGGCCCCTGCATTTTAAACTGGCTAATAACCTTCGTTAGAGAAAGAGTAAGTGCTGTTCAGATACTAATGCTGAGACAACAATATCATTCTCTCACACAGCAAGAAGAAACGAACATTCCATGATTGTAATGTCCAAAAAGAAAGTGGGGAAATGTAGAATCTAAGCATTAAGTAGGAGTAGAAATAAGTTGGCATAAGAGTAGCCATCTTAAGGGCCTAGAAGCCATTTTCTGGCGTTCTTTGAAAAGAAAAACTGGAACTAAGTAAGGCCTAGAAAACAAGTTAATCAATCATGAACACTGGCAGCGGTGACCTTTAGTCAGCTAACCTCAGTCAGTTAATCATACATACCAAGCTTATCTTGCTGAACCACCCTAACATTCGAAGAGTGATCTTATCTTGCTCTTGCTAAAACCCCCAGGATGAGGATGTGGCACCAGCCGAAAAGTTATGTGCTTGTGGAAAAACACTGTTATGTGCTTGTGGAAAAATACTGTCTCTTTGAAAATGCTATATAAACCCCTGGCTTTGAGTGCTTGGGGTCCTTGTTGAAACCTGCTGCGTCGGGCTGACACTTGGACCCCAGCAAGCTGGCTCCTGAATAAAGTCCTCTTGCTTGTTGCATCAAGAGACATCTTCCGTGAGTGAATTGGGGTGGCGTCCTCCTTTGGGGAGATCCAACAGTTATGTTCCATAGTACGATTGCTGAAGCCTCTTTGTAAGACAAATACTACATCCCTTTAGTATTAAGTGGGTCTGAGTAATGCAAATTAATGGAAAAGATAGTATATATTCAGGTTGATGAGTCAACTTTTCACTATTAATCAACAACACTTTTTGTTTAGGTGGGAAGTAGAGTAGACTATGGTATAGGTGGTTCTAGCTATTTTTTTCTCATTTTTTGGTTATTCACCAAAGTATATTAGGGGCTTATTTACTTTGGTCAACCACTTCTTAGTTTTTTTTTCTGTTCTACTGATGTTCCTCTCATTAAGCACAGAAGCATTTTATTTCTCACTTTTATTCCTCAAGCAGTCTTGATTTGTCAAGGTAAAAGGTAGGTGACCTTGTGGCATCTTAAAATTATTGCCAGGAGTAACTAAGCTAAGGCTATGTTTACTCAGGTGCAAACTGGAGAAGCTGCTATATAACCTCAGAATTGTCTTAATCTTCACCAGTCATGTTATTCTTTAGCAAACCATCCCAAACACCCTGAATCTCATGATATGGTATAGTCCTCATTCATTTTAAGTCTTGGACTTAAAAATATGGAAAAGGAAAAGAAAAACAAAATATTTAAGAAAAAGTCACACAAGTTATAGATAGAAAGGCTTCTAACAGGCTCCTCTTTCTTTTCTTTCAGTATATTGAGTCTTTTTGTGCATAGATTCAGTAGGACTCATAGACTCCTAAGAGTAAGTATTTACTTCATAGTATTATTCTCAGCATCATTAACTATTACTCTAGTGAATTAGTGATAGAAAAGGAGGATTACCAATACATGTTTACTCACATTTACTACAATGAGGCTTAAAGGCAATTTCTGCACATTTTACATTATAGCATTCAAGACAAATCATTAAGATATTCCCTAACTATTGGATGAATATAAAATTCATATATGTTTCTGAAGCAAATGAATGCATACACATTGACGGATAGGAGGACGTCTAGCTCCTCTTTCATTAGACATTGTCACAGCAAGGAAACAAAGGTGAACTCTGTCAGATTTTGAAGAATGAGTTACAGGAAACTATCTTTTTTTTCTAAAAGCAATTATCCCTATGTACACATCCCCCTGAATGATACAGAAAAGATAGTATTTTTCAAAAGTAAATAAAGAAGGAAAATATAAAAGTTCTCAATATAAGGGTTGTACATATGTAACAAGAAAAACATTCAAGTAAATTATATACACTTTGGTGAAAAGTAGAGCCAAGTTTTAAGTTTCTGAAGGTTGTCCTTGACTATGATGCTTCAAGATTACTGATGTCTTAATGTCCAAGGCAATAATGCCGACGAGAATTTCAAGTTTCGCATCATGTTGAGCAACTTAGCATACCACTTTAAGCTTGCATGGGCTGCAGTCAACAGATGCTGTAAAACCAGAAGGGAAGCTGCTGTCAAGATGTCACAATGTCACTGAAGCAGTGGCTCAGTTCCGGGGGCAGCGCTGCAGTCAAATGATCTCACCTGGGTGAAAACTAGCATCTGTCCAAGTCCTCCTCCTGAGTTATTCCATGTGCTCACCTTACTTTGCAGTCTCACCTCCAGAGCCTACCCAGCCATATTTTCAAATTTATTTCCATGCTTTCAAAAGATGGCATTACTGACCATAAGACATCCCTGTCTATCTCAGTGATATCATTATAACAGTTCTGTACCACAATTTGAAGAAACCAAGGAAGAGTCTACTGTAAAAGCATACTAGGACTTGAAATAAATTTTGTTTCAAGTAGCGTAAGTGCATGTACATACACATCCGTGCACATGTTTACATATATTATTACAGTATATGGGCAGCATATATACTCTGTGCAGACTATACAGAGAGAGCATATATTTTACTATATATACAATGTATAGCATATCATATAAACAGTTTATGTATGCATTACACATTCTATGTACCTATTTACCTAAGGTAATCTATCAAGTTAATTTTGCAAACTATCTTGTACCAAAGATCTTTCTGAAAAAATGGTATTTTCTGTATGTGGTGCTCATACAGGTAGCTTTCATTGCCTTTCCAACTGGGCTTATTTAAAATTATCTTGCTATGTTAATGTATAAGAACTGATATATGAGATAATAAATGATCTAACAAAACAATTACTGACTTACAGGAGAGTAACAATTTTAGCATTACTGTGCAGTAGACAACATTTTAGGTGTAATAAAAGGTTCTATATCAGAATCATAACTGATATATATAAGAACAAATATGTTACTTTAGAGAGAAACCTATCAATATTTTGAGGAGAGGAACATCAAGCTCCCTGAAAAGCAAAATGTAAACCTTGTGGATTCACTTATAGTTTTAAAAGCCTGCATTTAACTTTTTACAATTCACCAATCACTGTGCTAGGTTTCAGGTATTCAATGATTAATGTCCTTGTCCTTACACTCAAAAAGCACTTATTTTGATGGGGAAAAAACTGACATTAAAGTATAATGTTTAAGTTTAAAAAATGATATAGAAAAAAAAATCAGAGAGAATGAGTTTATTAACATTGAGGGAGTCGAGGAAATTTTCACAGAAAGAGATAAACTTGTGCTGAGATGCCAAAAGAAGATTTAGAAGTCGCCAGTCAGAAAAAGCAGAAAAGATAATTCCAAATAAATGCAGGTTTGAAAGAACAAGGCCTGAATTGTCAAAAGTTTAGTAGTTTACATGCATGAAGCTGAGAAGAGATAGAGGAAGTCGGAGGTACTTGTTAAAACCTCTACTAGTGATAAATCACAACAGTGATGCTGGGAATCCTTGGTAATCCTAAACTCTGTATATATAATACTTTGTTTGCATTGTTTTGTTTTATATCCCTCGATGTGGCTTTCAGTTAGATGCTCTATACCAATTAAGGCTATAGCTCTTTATTCATAAATTGCTAATATATGCATTGAGAAATGTCATCAAATTCTTCTTAAGCATCCATCAAGATGATCATATGAATTCTCTCCTCAACCTTCTACTGTGAACGACATTCACAAATGCCTGAAGATTGTTGAGATAATTCTTATTATATTTCTGATATAAAATATATTAATTCATAATTTATTATTATTTCAACTGTGGATATCTGTGTCAGTATTTATTTAATCAATGTCATAAAGTCAAGTTTATTTAAGCTTTATATTTCTACCTAATTTTGCCTGATCCTGGAAAAAAGGGAAGGAGCCAACCTGGGAGCAGATGACCCACCCCAGATGCTGAAGCAGATACCTTGCGGATCAGTATGGAAGCTTCCAGACATGTCCTCTCCATATTCCAGGCTCAGCAAATCACAGGCACAATAAAATGGTTGTTTAAAGCCATTAACTCTTGGTTCATTTGTTATGTAACACAAAACTGAACATCAATTCACTTCTATAAGTTTATGTTCTTGACTAATAAATAAAACACTGGGTTTGGGTTTGAGGCTCATGCTTAGGGGATCTGTCCTGGGGTTGTGCTCTGTTGCCCTAGTTATTAACTTAAGGGTTTCCCTCCAGGGCTTCATGGTGCATAATCAGGTGTCAGGCTTATAGTTTCTGAGCTAGGGTTATAGTGACGGGGAGCAAGCAAGGGGTTAAGTTTAATATTCAAGGTAGTTTTGATGGTTAGGCTGAGGATTAGGTTTAAGATTTAGTGTATAAGGTATAGGGAGTTTTGTGTGTGTGTGTGTGTGTGTGTGTGTTTCTGTTTCATTAAAAGTTACATGTAGGGTGAGGGTTGGTGTCTGCGATAAGGGTAAAACTTAGTGTTAGAGAGTGAGTTAGGCCCAGTTTTAGAATGAGGGGAACTGTTTTAATGGGGAACACTCTCTCCAAGTTAACTGATGCATGATAGTGCCAGTGAGACGACGTTACCATGTCTCACTCTGAGCCATACACTCAGAGAATACTCTGAGCCACAGGAAACAAAATGGGTCTCCTGTGGGTCACATTTAGGTTAATCGTGTTTGCAGGGTTATGGTTATATCTTGAATTAGTGTTTGATGTGTGGCTAGATTTAGTGTGAACTTCTCTTTCGGTTAGAGCTGGGATAATGGTTTATGTGAGGGATGATGTGTTGGGTTTTTTTTTTTTCCAGTTAACAGTGAAGATATCAAGTGAGGGCGAGGTTAGGGGTTCAGGCAAGGCTTCGCGTTATGTACAGCGTCAAATTAAGGTGTTGCTTGGTGTTAGCTTAAGGGGATAGGGTTACTGCCAGGGTTCTGTTTAGATCTATGCCCTCAATGAGGTGTGGGTGAGGCCCCTAAAGTGAGGGGGGAACAGAGATGTTTAGGGTGAGGGTAAGGAGTAAGTCTTCAGGTCAACCATTCCCATACCTATGTTCCCAAGGGTAGTGCTTGGCTCAGAGTGCTGCTGTTTGGCATTCTTCAAAGAGCCCCTGCTTTTCAAGCAATCTGGTTACAGTACAGCACAGGACCACGACCCATAGTTAACGAGTTTGGGAGAACCTGAATGGCTTTCTCCATCAGCCACGTGGGTCATTACCATGTCCCGGAAAACAAACACACAATACCTTGGATCTGGGTTCCGTTGACCATAATGCTGCCAGTGTGGACAGCTCCCAGCTCACCAAAATCATACCCACGGCTGAGGCACCAGGCCCTGAAGTGGGAGCCTGTTTCCCTAACCAAGCGTCACCAAGCACATTCTGTCTCTAGGAAACAGTCGCACTGTGACGTCTTGGAATCTGCAGGCAACACTGCTGCATTTCCAATGTTTACCAGTAGAGGGCGTACACTGCCTAGCCCTGGAAGCTGCATCTTCAGACAGCAAACGTAAGGGATTCAGGCAAATGTATGTATATATACTTTAACTTCCAATAATTTCACTTATCTTTTTCACTTGATATATTAAATAAAGTGAATATGTTAGACCTAGATTTCATTTTTCCTCATTTAACAGCTTTTAGAATCACTGCACTTCAAAAATATAGGAAATGTTGAATTAAGTAGTGTACAGCGTCAAATCA